GGACTTGGAGAATGCTAGATTTTGGCACTGCCTACCGTTAATTTGTTTTGTTTTTTTCTAGAAAAGAAATGCATTTGAGGTCATAGGAAAGAATTAGCTCCAGTTAGGTGGATATTATCTTTAAAATATATACATCTATAGCTTGTCCTAAAATTAGAAAGATGTGAAGATTGTAGCTTAGTAGTGGAGTGTTTGCCTAATAAGCTCAAGGTTCTGGGTTTTTGTTTGTTTGTTTTTTGTTTTTTTTGTTTCCAGCCATGAGGAGAAAAAGAAAAGAACTAGATGGATGCTTATGACTTAGGAAAATGTGAGAGATTCTTCAAGTATCCATCCTTTCATTTATTCATTCACTTATTCTTTTCAAGAGATTGTCTTGGTATAAGCAGGCCCTTCGGCTCTGAAAAGCCAGCTCAATAGTAAACAGCTGCAATTTTTCTGGCCATTCTGACTTCATTTAAGAAGACGAAATTGCTTTCCCAGATCCTGACTGGTGTCAGATATCCAGGTGTCAACTTCCCTCTTAAAGATCAGGCAGTCAAGAGTCTGCCTGTCTTGTTCCACTGAAGACAATCTGCCCTTTACATGTGCAGTTGCATTTCTCTGTGGCAGACATGGTTTCCAAGAAAGCTTAGCTTCATGCTAGTGTGTAGGCAAGAAAACGTCATCGTACTGTTTCTCCCCAAGCAGCAGATGCCTCAATGATAATGGTAAAATAAGAATATTATTGAATTTTCTTAATGGTATCAACTTACTACCCTTGAGTCTGGTATGTTTCAAATTCCATAAAGACTGGTATTCATAGCTTTTTAAAGAAACCTTCTATCTTTCCCCAAAAACAAAAGGGCAAAAATTTTGCTACTTGCATACTAGAATAGTGTATCTCCAGAAGGTTGAATCAACACTTAGAACTAAAGAATAACCTTATTTAGGCACATTATAACTGTCTTTAAGAGTAACTCATTCTCTCTCTCTCTCCCCTCCTCCCCCTCCCCCCTCTGTATATGTGTGTGTGTGTGTGTGTGTGTGTGTGTGTGTGTGTGTGTGTGTGTGTGTGTGTATGTGTATGTGTAGAGCTCGAGCACATGTGTATGAGACAGAGAGAGAGAGAGGAAAAGAGAGAGAGGGAGAGGGAGAGGGAGAGAGAGAGACAGATTGAAAGAGAGGACTAAAATATCAACTATCTAAGTTTGTATGGGTTGTCTGGGTAATTTGATCTTTTTCTCTAGGGCATAGAGCAATAGTATTTACTGAGACTAATGTTACCAAGATGGTGAAAATTTGCCCCTGATATATATGCTCTCTGATGCTAAAGAAATAAATGAATATAGGAAACTAATCTTTGTTGCTTAGTTACTTGGGAAACATACACTATAGTGTCTGTCCCCTTCCCTTCCAAGTGTCCTTTCTCAGCAATCCTGACTGCTGTACGAAGTATATTCTAAATTTATAATCAAATTACAGGCATCTGGAGAGCTCAGCCAGTGAAGTAAATTGTTTTCCATAAGTCATGCTTTCGACTTGCAAATACTGGAAAAGCAAATGCTAACACTATAATTCTTAAATGATAGATTGCCTCTGGAAGCATTTAATTTAGAGCAATGCGTACAAGCCCAAACCCTAAACCCAGCATGCTTGATTTGCTTATCCTTTTGCAAAGTTTTGGGTTTGTTTGTTTGTTTTTATTCCTCTTTCACTCGGCTCTCTATTCATTTCATGAGAATTGGAATGATCAAAACCTATCGTGGAAGGGTTCTGACCATGCTTAGTAGTAGATGCAACACATTCGTTCACTTTAAAAAAAAAATGAATAGGCTCGGAAATGTTGGTATGAATTCAAGTCACCATATGTCCTCTTAATGATTGTTTGGAAACAACAAGGGACAGACCTCCCACAGCTATTTCTCTGTATTCCTAAGTTTCTTCAAAGCATACACTTAGAACATGATTTGCTTTGAGCTGGAGAATGGGTAGGAGTCAGGCCCCAAGTAGACTTGTAAATGAATTTAACTGGCTCCTTGGATGGTGACTGAGAAAGACCTTTATTTAAATATATACAATGAATTGTGGCCTTTGATCCTTTTGTATTCAAAGGTATTATACTTTCAAAATTACACAACACAGAGAGAAAGGAGTTCTAACAACCACCAAAAGCAGGAATCTACAATGCAAAAATCTGTGTTAGCAACAAAGAATCCAGATTTTGGAGAGAGCAGACTGGTGTTCAAGTTTGGCAAATTATCTTTAAATTTTAGCATTTTGCTTTTGGTTCTTAAAAAATTGGAAAAAATATATGAAAAGGATAATTTTTTAAAACAAAAATCACTATGTAAATGTAACATTATTATTCTTTGAATCTCGCAATAGAAAAGTCAGGGGCATCTGCTTGTAAAAGAATATACAAAGCACTTTTGGAGCTGGGCATGGTAGAAAACTCCTGTAGTACTAGCACTTAGGACGCTAGCGAAGAAGAATTTTGAGTTCAAGGCTGGCCTGGCACAGTAAGACAATGTCTCAAAAAACAAGATCAGACAGAAATCAAAACAACATACCAAAAGAGAGACTTTCATGGGGATAACGTCCATGAAAAGGTAAAAGTGTCTTATGCTGGGTCATAGTGCCTTGTGAGAGGAATTAACTGTGCTATCGATGTCATGGTGGTACCCAGAAACTAGATACAAGTGGAGGGTGTGGAAGGGATGGTACTCATACTGTGGAAAACGGAATTCACTACAATTTATTTCTTTCCCTTCCTCCTCTCCCTCCAAGAACCAGTGTCTATACACATCTGCATCACTTATTCTGTATGCTGGGATAGTGACACATATTGTTGGCTCATCATTCTTTTTGCTGGGATCTTGTTCCAACGGTCTGTTGCTATGTAACAACAGCTCACAAAGTATAAGATGTGTGACAGTTAGGATGCTACCAGCTGCAAGACACAGGAATGTAGGTCATCTCAGATGACAGGAACTTGTGAGCTTGGAGGTGACAGAGACTCTCCACACAACAGCCAGATCATGTTAAGGACTGTGGTTCTGCTTCTGCTTTCTCCCTGACTGTTCCCCTCCACAGCGGATGTCACAACATTGCATCCTGGCACGACACTGATTCCTCCCATGGCCAAGCCTAAAGGCAGAGTGGATGACAAGATGAGAGCAGGATAGGTGGCTTTGTTTACTTGACACCCCTACCCCCCCTCTCTCTCCATTAATTTAGAAAGTAAAATCTTTCCCAGATATCACTTACTCACTCAATAAAAAATGTCTTACTGCTCATTGGTCAGCATTGGGTCTTAACACTTGTCCCTCTGCTGTTTACTAATAAAGGGGAAACCACAGTCCTGCTTATCCAATCCCCAAGAAGCTTTGCAGAAAGCTGTCTTTCTTGAACATGTGATTATCTGTGTCTCTACCAAATTAAAGTGACAAGGATGAAGGAAGATGGAGCTGACTGACAGTGTGTGCCAGGCTCATGCTTACATGTCCTTCTCAGTCTGTGGGGCACCATCTGGCAATGCCTTTTCAAACACTGGTAGTCAATGTCATTGTATAGATTCAAGCAGCACCTTGGAGATTTCCACAGATAGAGTCCTTTTCCGGACCATCTCAGTAGAGAATCAAATACCAGGAACAAGCCAGGTCTATTGAGCACTTGCTATGGGCCAAGTGAGTGTATGGTGCTCCTGTCTCATCTCTCTTGTTAATTGTAAAAAGGGTGTGTGCTAGCTATCTTGTAGGAATGAAAATCAGAGAGAAAACCATTAAGGGTTTGTGGAAACACACTCCTAAGTGGGACATCTATATTAAGCCCCCCATGCAAGGCTCAGGGGATATCACGGGAGAGAGGGTGGAAAAAATGTAAGAACCAGAAGTTGGGAAATACCACTGTGCAACCCCATCTTTTAGACATGCCGTGGTCGCTGCACTGTTGCACTGTTGCACTTTGAACTCACAGCAGCCGTGGTTACCTGCACAAGACCTACATGAAATAAGGAAGCCAACATTCTGTTAGGCAGCCCCACCCTTCCCTAAGAACTGATTGGCAATTAATAACTGCTGAAGGAGGAAGAGCTATTTCTCTTCCGTGGTATGGCTACTTGTAAGTGTCCATGCTCCAATAAATGACCACAAACATGCTGTAATCCAGGCAAACCTGGCCCCGCCTCTCACCTACCTGTGCATGGCAGGTGTATGTACCCTGGCTCTTTAAAAGAAAGACCCTGCCCACTTCTCTCTCTTTCCTGCTGTTTCCCTGGGGCAGACAAGACTATTCCTCTCTCCCTCTTTCCTTCTGTCCTTTCTCTGTCTCTGTGTCTCTTTACCTCTTTTCTCTTCCCTTCCTCCCTCTCCCTTCTAATAAAACTTCTCACTTAAGCTCCGTTTACCTGGAATGTTTGTCCCCTGCCTCAGTTATCCTCACCTGCCGTGGAATCCGCCAAGGTTCCCCACTTGCTGTGTCATAATACATATATTCATCTAAGCAACCCTAAAGAAACTAATCGGAACAAATAAATAAAAAAAACAATAAATAAAACCATAAGTTTGAGAGGGACTTGGGAAAGAAGGAATACGGAATGGAATAAGGGAGGGTATGCAGGCTGAAAATGACTAAAACAAATGGTACGCATATATGGAATTACCAGAGAATAAGTTAAAAACATAGAAAAAAAAAACCCTAACAATCAAACTCCCACAACAGAGTTAGTAGAGACAGAAATTAAAGCTCATGTCCCTTTAAGTTCAAGGATGATGTGGCTCCCTATATATTAACAATCAGCTATTATGTAAGCTCCTCTTCCCTGCTTTCCCCCACCCCGTGATAGTCTCATCTCCTGAGCCCTTTCCCTACAGACCCCGCACCACGCTCGGGTAGACCAGAGTGAGTAGCAAGAGCCAGAGGCCTCCAAACTTTCTAATCAATGCCAATCCACCTTCTGAAAGTTTTGTACTGAGGGAATAATGAGAACAGCAAAGAAAAAAAACAGTCATCACAAACAACAGTGACAGCACATTGTGGTCTTTTATTTCATGTCACCGACCTCATCAATTTGACCGATTTAGGGTCGACCGATAGTTGGATGCAACAGCTACAAGGGTGCATACCTTGAATACTCAGATTAAAACTCAAATTGCTTTTGAGATTCAGAATCATTTTGATATTGGATATTTTCACGGTTAATGGCACTGAAAGACCTCACTGTATAAATGCTTTGACCTCAGAAATTTGGTGAGCTGCAGACAGATAGTACCTGGGTGTCCGTATTACTTCTGGCTGTCTGACGGAGAAAGTGGATGATTGACCTCTGCGATGGAGGACATTTCAGCCAGAAAACAGTCATTAGACTCTTCGAGGAGTTTTCCTGATGAGGCAGCCCAACTTTACCAATGTTTGCTTCAGAATCTTCAGGACGATGCCACATATAAACTCTGTTTTTGGAAATATTTTCACCGAGGGCTTATTTGGGGATGCTTTCTTATGGGACAAAGGCAGCCAGGCATCAGTTTGGGAAGCCTATTTTAAATCTAAAGATTGTGCTGTCTAGGGGCTCACAAACACATTGCCCTCTGTTAAACAGAATGAAACAGATTCACACCAATCCCTGCCCCGTCTTGTGACACAAGCTTTGCTTCCCTTCTGCACACGACTTTCTATAGGATGGAAACCGAACAGAGGGAATTATTCAATTCAGGTCACTCCTTATGCCCTCTGTTCCCCAGATGTGTGTGTGTGTGTGTGTATATGTGTTCGGTCATGTGTACACATGCTTGGGAGGCCAGAGGAAAACTTCAAGTGTCATTTTTCAGAAATCATCTATCTTTTACATTTTGGTGTAGGCCTGGAACCCACCTACTAGGCTAGGTTGGCTGGCCACTGAACCTCAGACAGCCACCTGTCTCCACCTCACTTGCACTGGGATCACAGGTGTGCCACCCCACCCAACTTTTTTTTTTTTCTAAACGAAGGTTCTGAAGATCAAACAAGGTGAGCATTTAACCGACCTGTTTCCGCAGCCTGCAGATCGTTTGATATTCATTGAAAGTTTTTTTGTTTTGTTTTTAACAAAACTGCATATGAGCTAGGCTTTGCAGGTTTTGTTCTAAAAACAATAGCTGCCAGGCTGGTCTTCAACCTGAGACATGTGCAAGTGCTATCATGACCAATGCACACACTCATTTATGTCTCTCTCCCTGCTCCCCACTGTGGTTGTGTCTTTGTGTGAGCACGCATGTGAGAGAAAGCCTCATTAAAAGAAATCAGGAACTTGGTGATTGTGAGTCTGAAAACAAAGGGCTGGTAACAAGTCAAAACTACCCACTGGAACCTTTATCGTCATTTCTTTTGGCTCTTAACAGCCTTACAAGAAGTAAGCGTGTCTCCAGGGAGGTCTTGCAACCGAGAGTTTGAGAAACAGCCCATTTGGAAGTCGTCAGCTGCAAGGAAGGACTTGAGGTTCTACTTGGGTGACTGGCCAGTTTCTTTGTTCTGTTTGTAAATGGCAGCAGGGAGCTAGAAAAGAAAAACACATTTTTCAGATCTGAAAAGTGACTTACCCCAAAACACATTGTCTTGGCTGATGTGGTCTTTGAGTCCTATAAATTGGTGCCTCTGTGTGTGGGTGCCTGTAGTACAGGTGTGGGGTGTGGGAGAGGGTGCCAGTCTGCAGCTGGGCATCTGGAAGGGGAAATTCATCCAGCTGTTGCAGAACAAGAGCAGGGTCTAATTCATGCATAATTCAGGCAGCTATGCATGTCCATGCATAACATCAGACATGCATGTCACAGAGGGAACAAATGGTCACTTTCAACTTCCATCCTTCTTTGGAGCACAGTGTGAAAGGTGCCTTTGTCCTTTTGTGTACCTTGACCATGAGTCTGGAACTATGTTTGCAGGTAGGGCAGTGAGTGTGACCCTGGATCCCCCCTGGGAGCCTCTCTCTGACCAGTGTGGAAAAGAAACATGTTGAAACCTATGTGAACAAAGCATTGGTCTGATTTTTTAACTCAGTTCCTGCTAATTTCTCTTAGGATTTCATGCACCATGCTGTCTGAAAAAAATGTATCTTTTTTTCTTTAATTACTACTCATATTTACATATCCATTCCCACATCCCCTTGCCCTCCCATCCTCCCCCCAAAAATGTATCTTAAGCTTTTACATATCATCTCTTTCTATTCAATCTTCCTCAGCCATCACGACCAAGAGGGAATTAATTTCCTGCCTTGGTGAGGGAGAGTTTAGTTTGCAAAACAGACCCGACTTCACATCCTGTTCTATCTTTTTAACTCCACTTCCCTCGGATCTTCCAAAGAAGAAATTCTGTAATAAGCTGGGTGTAAGTCAAGTTTCTCTTTCAGCTAAACCTCAACTGCCTGCCGTGGTTTTCACTGTGTCTCTGAGATGTGTGGTGACGGCTTTGAGAGCTGGCTGAAGAAAACCAAAACACCACACAGCATATAAACATCCAGCCTAGACTTCCTGAATATGTATGTAAAACCTATGCGATGACACACCCTTCCATCTCCACTCTTATCTGGAAGAGTGTCTCTTTGTTGTTTTGATCCATAAGATGCCTGTGGCAGAGATGAGCCTGTTACACTGTAACACTGATCCCTTGAGTGATTGGTTCAGGACCGAATAATAAGGAACATATTTATTTCCGGCTCCTCCCTGGCACAAAGAAGCCAGACTTACTACACAGCACCCGTAGAAAAATGAATTCTGTTACTTCTGTAGCCTTTCATTCCAAGCTTTTGGTTTTGTTTTCTCCTTGAGCCTGAGTCATACTCTCTTCTGGATCCTATGAAACCGTGCCCCGCCCCCCGACCCCCAGCACCTCCTCTGTAGTAAGCTATCTTCTCTGTCTTTAAACTCCGTTTGAATTGAGTCTCTGCCACTCGCCAGAAAACAAATCTCAAGCAACATATCAACTGTCTTTCAAAATCCCTCTAACCTGGTGTGGGTTTGCAACTCTCACTGGACCAGTGGAACCCTGACTCATGGGGGACCCAGACAGGGGTGTGGAAGTCAGGATGGCTTTAACTTCCTGTTTTGCCATTGACTGACTGTGGCCTTGGGTAAATCGCTCAACCTTCCCAACAGTATTGTTTTTCTTGCTTGCATTGTTTTAAGATCTAGACACCACAAATGTGAAGTAGCGAGCCTGATAGGCAGTCATCAGTGGCCTTTAGACTCTAAAAATAGCTGTTGCGACTACATGAAAAGTTCTCCTGTAAGTGGGATCCCAATGGCAACAGAGTCAGGGTATCTGGGTCATTTCTTTCATCTTGTTTTCTTTTTAGCCCACCCACTTTTTCTTTCCAGTGCCTGGGATCAAGCTGGAGCCTCGTATATGCACTTGCTAGACGCTTGGTCTCCTGCCGAGCTGCACCCCGTGCCCTTTCCTCCTCTTTTCATCTCTTTGTCCTCTTTCCCTTTCCATTTAGTTTTCTTTTAGAAGTCCAAATGTTCACTCATCTGATGACTAGGAAACGGCTACAGAGAACTGTAGAGAACTCCTTTAATAAAGAATACATGTGCATGGATGTCACATTCAGGTCATAGCTCATGTGTGGAGATCAGAGGACAACTTTTGGAGGTCTGTTCCTTCCTTCCACCAGGAGTCATAGGGCTAACTCAGGAAATTTGGTTTGTATGGCAAGTGCTTTGATCCACTGAGGCACCTTGCCTACCTCAGAGAAACTTTGAATACACTGTCTTGCCAGAATAATTTTCTCCTTGGTTTCAAACCCACTATATTGGGGTTCCAGGAGTTTTTCTATGACCTTTTGTCTCAGGTGAGAGCCCCAGAGAGTGAGTGGCAAAGATGTGCACAAGTGTTTAACTATGGAGTGTTCATGGGAACCCAAGCTAGGGAGCCAGTGCCAAGCAAAGGTGTCATGGGTTGTCACATAAAAACCTCTCCAAACTGGAATAACCTATCAGAGCTGTCCTGAAAGCGGGCAAGGCAGTTCAGCCTTCCTGCCTCTGCTTTCAGGGTTGAGTGGCTCCCTTCTGCCAGGGGCAAGGTCTATAAAGAGACATAACCGGTGTCAGATAGCAGCTTGCATCTGGAAGAACCAAGGTCCTGAAGAGAGTGTCTGACTTGTGCAAAGGGAATCCTCCACAAAAAAAAAAAAAAAAAAAAAAAAAAAAAAAAAAAAAAAAATTGACTTCTAAGCTTGTCGCTGAATCTGTCATTGTAGTGACTGAACATTAAACAAAGGCTTTGTACCCATTAGAGGATTCAACTGTATGATCTGGAAGAGTGTAAGCATCACTAGGTACTCCATTTCAGAGCTGTTGACATCTCTGATTTGGGCAAAACATTCCTGAGCCACAGTGGCAGAAAGTGATACTAAGTCTATACAAAGTATAGCCTGCTTCCTAGTGACCAATCAAGTGCCAAATTCCACATCTGCTGCTCAGGTTGCTGCATCTCAAAGCCCTACATAGGCTGATTCTGGGAACCATATTCACCAATCTCTATAATCCAATAGGGCTCAGAGACAAAAGACATGCCATGTCATCACAGTCTAGGAAAGTTCTGAGGTGCTAAAACCAGGAGGCATGACATTTGGGGTCTTTAAAGGCTGGATGGAATGCATAAAAAAAGCTCAGGACAATGGAGGAGAATTGAAAACTCCGTCCTATCCCATTATCTCCAAAGGAGGAGGGTAGCATAGCTGATCATTTTAGTCATGCTGAAAATGGTCTTTGAAGATTTCTCAGATCTAGGTCCCAAGCTAGAACCTCTACTATCCAGCAGTTGAGGGTGTGTGTCTGGATCTTGTAGAATATCTGATTCCTCTTTCATATATTGGGTCCCTGTGACACTGAAAGCCCTCTACCTTTTTTTTTTAAATATTAATAAAAACACTGATTTTTAATTATGCGTTGGGTATGCACACATGACTGGAGTTGCCCCGGGAAGCCAGTAGAGTCAGATCTTTCTTGCACTGGAGTCACACGCAGTTGAGCTGCCCATGTAGGTGTTGGGAATTGAACTCAGATTCTCTTTTAAGAGCAGTAAATGTTCCTAACTGTTGAGCCATCTCTCCAGCCTTCACTAGGGGTAGTTTCCAATCATTGTTTTGCTATCATTGCACATCAAAAGTCAAGTCAAGTGACTAAGTTCAGAGTAACAGAAAACAAGAATTCATCTCTTTGATGTCATGCTTCCAGAATGTAGTGAGAGGAAAACTGTATACTCAAGCTAATCATGGTAAGTTGTACAGATATTCATGGTTGATATTCATGGAAGCCATGGATTTAATTTTCCTAAAAGGAACCGATTTGCCTTGTAATCCCAACTACATAGTTGTATTAAAGGACACAAAATTTTTGTACTGCTATGATGTGCTCTTCCCTTACCAGAGTCAACCAATACTGGGGTCAGTGTGTGTGTGTGTGTGTGTGTGTGTGTGTGTGTGTGTGTGTGGTGTACCGGGGCAAACATTCTACTACTGAGCTACACCAAGCACTGGAGCCAACATCTTAGAATTGTCCTGTGAGTGAACTCCTCCAGATGCAGCTGGAGACCAAGGGTGAGACTACAATTCGTCTTGGTCATCACCACATGGAATTGGCATTAGGTGGGTAGAAGAGAGGGATAAGAGGACAGGGGCCAGGCAATGTCTAAGTGTCTGTTTCTGTTTTCAAGTTTCTAAATCTTAAAAAAAGATTCTTAAACTCTGCAATGTTTGACTGCACAGGCCCTGGTTCAAGTACCAAAATACCCTTCTTATGAATGCTTTTTGCTGCTACCATGAACTGTGTCCCTGCATCTGTAATTAAATAAAGACCACAACTAAAGATGTATGCAAATTACTTTTTCTTTTTTTTTCTTTTTGGTTTTTCGAGACAGAGTTTTTCTGTGTAGTCCTGAAATCTACTCTATAGACCAGGATGCCCTCCAACTCGAAGAGATTCACCTGCCTCTGTCTCCCAAGTACCAGAATTAAAGGCATGAACTACCTCTGCCTAGTGCAAATTACTTTTTCATTTATTTAGTGTTTCTCTGTTAAGATTGTTTTATTTAATGCAGACTCTGTCTCATAGATCCCAAAGTCTGAAGTTGCACCACCTTTTGTGATCTCAGAAACTAAGCAGGGTCCAGTATGATTAGTGCTTGGGTGGGAGACTACTCCAGCCCATGTTATTTATTTATTTGTTTGTTTTTTTGCAGATTTTTTAATCTGAATTAGAAACAAGATTGTTTTACATGACAATCCCAGTTCCCTCTCCCTCTTGTCCTCCCCTTCCACCCACCCAACTAAAACCCTACTTATCACATACCCTTTCTGCTCCCCCTGGATGGTGAGGCCTTCCATAGGGTGTCATCAGAGTCTATCGTATCCTTTGGGATAGGGCCTAGGCCCACACTTGGCTCAGGGAGTATTCCTCTATGTTGAATGGGCTCCCAAAGTCCACACCTATGCTAGGGATAAGGACTGACCTACTACAGGAGGTCCCATAGATTTCCGAGGTTTCCTCACTGAAACCCATGTT